GCAATCTATGTGGCGCAATCGACGTGGTGCACTTTACGTGGTGCAACCGATGAAGTGCAATTTCATGCGGTGCAATCTGTGGTGCAATCTACGTTGTGCAATCTAGGCTGTGACGGGGCGGCGACGGGGCGGCGACGGCGACCACGGAGCCGCAAGACCGCCACACACGCCCAGTTCCTTAGAAGACGAGTGATATATCCTGAGTGTAAGCAATGATTGGGAATTGTAGATGCACAGCCTTTTATAGGCACACGGGTATGCATGCAGCTTGTCACGTATGCCTCGATATGTAGATACACATATTCTCATACTCGCATCTCCGAGGGAGCCGAGCTCAGCGGTAATTGATTGAAGCCGTCGCCCTTTCTCTAGCCGTCTCACTCGGGACATCCTCAACATTCCGAACATCGGACGCACCCCTCACGCAAATTGCGACGTCACACAACGGATGTTCAATATTTTCCTATCCAAGCTTTCAGAAACAACGTAGATGTCAATGATTGTGGACGCCGCTCTTTACACAACACAGCAGTTTCGCGTGAGACTTGCCCCAAACATTACAACCCGACGTATCCAAAGTTGTCCTCATAGTAATCAAAACGACAGTTTCCCTCGAAATACCCCCCAAACTTTGCTTCGGAGCTCCTTTTCAATTGCACTGACAGGGTGTGGAACATACATCGCAAGGCGTGGCAACCCTACCTGCGTTCGACTGCGAACCCGCTGTTGCACCTCCTTCCGAACAGCCCCCCGGTGATCCTGATCCCCAATATAAATATATTTTCATTCACGCGCATGTATGTAGCTAGAGGGAGAGAAAGGGAGAGAGGGATAAATTTAGCCATATGTTTATATTTAGAGAGGGGAGAGGGGTAACAACCAGAGATGGAGCGAGTGCGTTGGATAAAAGGGGGAGAGATGGGGAGGGAGGGATCGAGAGGGAGAGCGAGAGAAAGAGAGAGAGAGGGAGAGAGAGATATAGAAAGTGGAGAGAGGGTCACGAAGCCGAGCGAGAGAGAGAGGAGAGAGAGAGAGAGAGAAAGAAACAGAGAGAGAGAGAGAGAACAACAACAAGGGAGAGACGGAGCACGGCCTGCTGCTGCTCCAAGCCCCTTGCGCTCGCCCCGCCGCCAGGGCAAGGGCCGCGGCGCCCCCAAGTTCGGCGGCCAGGACCTGCGCCTGGAGAGCGGCGGGCCCGCTGCGACCAACCCTGGACTGGCGAAGGCCTCCTCCTCCTCCTCCTCCTCGTCCTCCTCCTCCTCCTTCTCCTCGTCCTCCTCCTCCTCGTCCTCCTCCTCGTCCTCCTCGTCCTCCTCGTCCTCCGCGCTCAGGTACTGTACGTCCACCTCCTCCTCCTCCTCCTCCTCCTCCTCGTCCTCCTCCTTCCTCTTTGAAGTTGCCTGGCGAGTGTTAGGCGGAGATTCAGCGGCTCGCTCTCAGATGGTCGAACGGCTGACTGCACTCCGAGGCCTGTCACGCCTTGGGAACCTCCTCCTCCTCCTCCTTCCTCTTCCCTCTTCTCTTCCTCCTCCCTGATCCTCAGAGCGTGTCTTGGCGCCAATTCGTGGTTCACAGGGGGAAAAGGCACCGATACCGCTACCCTTGCCTCGTTTTCGCCCTTTTCGGCCTCCCGGGAGGCTCTCGTCGCCACCGCTGGATTCGCATCGAAATCTTGGTCATAACGCACCCCGGGAGACGTCCGGGGAGCAGCGGCCTCGGTGCCCTTCGGTTTCCCCGGAGCGGTCGATGCATCTCCCCCTGAGCTCCCCCTCCTCGCCCTCCTCCTCCTGCTCCTCCTCCTTCTGCTTATCCTCCTTCTCCTCCTCCTCATCCTCCTCCTCCTCCTCCTCCTCCTATCGTTGCTTTGGGTAGACGGTCGACATCTCATCCATGCCCCTGTTCGCGCCCCGATCTGACGAGAAGGCCAGAGCGGGCATACGGATCCATTCCTGGCCTCCGAGGCCACGCTGTTTTACCCATGCCCTGCGGCACCTGGCGCCCAGAGTGGGGTGGGCAGCAGCAGGGGTTCGGATCGAGCGTCGATCGCATCGTTGGGAACCCGGGAGGGTGCCGCAGCGCTGGATCGGGCGACGAGCCGTCCTCAATCTCTTGCGGGAGAGGCTCGGCGGGGTGGCACATGAAGAGCTGGGAGCCACCTCCGCCACCCGCCGAGCCAGGGAGGAGAATCGTGCACTCTCGCTGGGGAGTGTGGAGTGAGGCGGAGAAGGAGGAGGGAGGAGGGAGGGAGGATGGAGGAGGGAGGGAGCGAGGGGAGGGGAGGGAGGGGGAGAAGAGGAGAGAGGAGGGAGGGAGGAGGAGAACTGAGGCAGGAGGGAGGGAGGGAGGAGGGAGGGAGGGAGGAGGGAGGAAGGGAGAAGGAGAGAGGAGGGAGGGAGGGAGGGAGGAGAGAGGAGAGATGAGGGAGGATGAGAGAGGATGACAGAGGAGGAGAGGAGGGAGGGGGGAAGTATGGGGAATCGGGAGGAGGGAGGAGGAGGGAGAAGGGGAGGATCCTTCCTTCCCGCCCTCGCCACAGAGTAGGTGGAAGTCGCATCAAGCGCTCTGCCCGTAGTGCTGCTCAATCCAGCGTCCCGCCGTGTCTCTTCACCCTTGCTGACCTCCCCCCTCTCCCCTCCGCCCTTCTCCCCCGCCATCCCTTCCACTCCCTGCTCTTCTGCTCCTGCGTCGATTCCCCCCCCTCCTCCTCTTTATGCTCCTGCTCCTGTTCAACCTCCTCCCTTTCTCCGTCCTGCTCCCTCTTCCCCTCGTCCCTCTCGCCCTCCATCGTCGCCACCGCTCCTGCCTTTTTCTAGTCCTCTTCGTCGCCCTGCCCGCCTGCTCCTCCACATCATATCTGGCTGACTCCCCCTCCGCCATCTCCCCTGCCTCCTCCTTCCCTTCGCTGGATTGGGCTGTTCGTCAAGGCCGAACGCCTCAAGCCAGGCACACTCGAACTTACCAGGAAGCCTACGGCTCTGGAAGGCCAGAGACCGAGCCTCCATCTGCTTCGCCCCCCTGGCGACGCGACGCTGCGAGGCGCCCTGCCCGGTCTGCTGGGTCAGACCACATCTGGCCGGAAGCTCCGAGCTGCCCTCTTCCCTGCCTTCTCCTCCTTCTGCTCACTTTATTCCTCCCGCTCCTGCTCCTCCTCCATACCTCCTCCTCCACACCTCCTCCACACCTCCTCCGTCTCCTCCGCTTCCTCCGCCTCTTCCTTCCGCCCTGTTGCTCTCGCGGCTCCTTGGTTGCTGCCGCTCTATCCTGTACGGGGGGACGATCCTCAGTCACCTCACTTTGGCGTGACTTATTCATGGGGGACTGGCCGACCAACTCCGTCCCTCCCCCATGCTCTCCCTTCCTTCTCCTCCGTTCTTCTCTTGCATCCCTGCTTCCCTCCCTCCATTGGTGCACCCCCCTCCCTTCCCGCCTCTCCTCTCGCTGCCATCCCTCCTTCACTTCGTCCCTCCGTCCCCCGTCACCTCCTTCCATCTTCGCCACCGCATTCTCCATCACTCTTCTCTCCGCTTCTTTTGATCGCCTCCTCGCTGATGCCCCGAAACGGCTTGCCGCCCCCCCCTGCCCAACAAGATCGTTCTTCCGCCCCCTTCCCTCTGCGCTCCATGCCCGCGCCTCCGTCCTCTCCCCATGTCTTCTGCTTGCCCCCTCCGCGGTTACAGGCTTCCCTCCGCACCCAGGCATCCCTCGTGCCCTCCTCCCGCCTCCCACCTCCCTCATCTCCCTCATCCTCCCGTGCCCCCTCTCTGCTCTCCCTCTCTCCCCCTCTCTCGCCCCCACCTCCTCCTCCCCTCCGCCCTTCCCCTCCCCTCCTCGTCCCTCCCCCCTCCCTGCCTCAAGGCGGGGAGACCCTCTTCCTCCCCTGCCCTCCCCCCCCCCATGCCACCCCGCCCGCCCCTTCCCCCTCCCCCTCTGCGCCTGCCCCCCCCCTCCCGCTGCGGCGTCGCAGGCCCCGAGCCAATCCTGGTCGACGCCGGTGAGACAGGCCGGAAGCCACGGCGGGGCCTCGGGGGGCTGGCGTGTTGGCAGGGAGGCCCGCAGGACGGAGGGGGGGCGATGAGATCCTGGCGTCTCAGTTGGTTCGGGCCGGGGCTTTTTCGGTCGGTTTTCGGGCCCCGCGACCCTCACGGAGCCATCCGCCTCGAAAAGCTGCATGGGGTCCAGGGCTCCGGCACGGTCGTCGATATTTTCGCGACGCCTCACCTTCTTCGCGCCGTCGGATCGCAGGGAAGCAGGGTGCTGCCAGGGGGGGCGCCCCTGTGATCGCTCAGCCTTGAGCGGTCTGGGCTCCTCGGTGTGGCGCGTCATATGTGAATCCTATCAGAATCACATGAGAATCTGGGAATCCTCTGGGAATCCTCTGGGAATCCCATGGGCATCCTGTGAGAATCCTATGAGAATCCCATTGGAGTCTTATGATCATCCTGTGAGATTCCGGCCTCTGGCGGCGTTCCGCCTCGAGCGGCGCCCGCGCTGGGCTCGCCGCCGCGTGGGCGCGGCGCGAGCCTGCCGGGTCCCCGCGCTCTCCCCCCCTGGGCGTTGTGCTACGACCCGGTGCTGACTTGCTCACGACTGCCGCTCGATGCCTCGTCGAGGTTCCGACGCTGCCCAGGACTCTCGCGTGGGGCGTCTTTGCATTTCGTGTATATCTTGGAGGGGCTGTGCGGGTTGTGCGGGGGGGTTGTGCGAGTTTTTGTTGTGTTACTTGTTTTTCCCATCGGACATTCCAGAGGAGGCCCTGGCCCAAGGTGTCTCTGGGACGTCTGGGCAGGCCCCACGTGGCCTCCAGAGCACCCCAGCAAGCCCAGAGGGCCCCGGGGGGCTCCAGAGAGGCGCGACTGGCCGGGTGGCACCTCGGGCCATGGCCTCACCTTCGGCAACCGACGAGAGGCGGGGCGGGGCGGCGACTGCGAGAGCCCCCTTCCTGCCAGAGCCGTTTTGGCTTCAGGACACCCCCTCGGCCCAGGAACAGACAGCTCGCACCCATGGCGCGCCACGCCACCGCCGCCGCCCTCGCGATCGGCGCCGCCTGCCTCCTGCTCGCGGGCCGCGCGTTTGTGGCCCCCTCGCGCGGCGTGCCAGCGCAGGCGCCCGGGGCGGACCTCGCGCGGGCGGCCGCGCAGGCCCCGGCGCCCCGCAGCCCGGCGGCCGCGGGCGCCGCGGCGGCGCTCGCAGCGGCGGGGCTCGTCGCGTGTGGGCTGCTGGGGCAGCGCCGGGCGTCGACGGCGGCGGCGCGGGCGGTGCGCCGCGACCTGGCCGTGGCGTACGAGGACAGCGGCATCGACCTGCTCGACAACGGCCAGTTCGCCCAGGGCCTGGTGGGCGCCGAGGGCGCGTGGGGCCGCTACGAGTTCGACCCTGCGGGCTTCTCGCGCTACACGGAGTTCGTGCCCTGGTTCCGCGAGGCGGAGCTCAAGCACGGGCGCATCTGCATGCTCGCCTGGCTGGGCCTGGTGGTCCCGGACTTCGTGCGCATCCCGGGCGAGCGCTACTCCTTCGAGGCCGTCCCCTGCGTCCTCGACGCCCACGACCGGCTCAATGGAAGCGTGGGCGTCAACGTCCAGATCCTGATCTGGATCAGCGTCGTCGAACTCTGCTGCGCGAAGAAGGTCTTCGAGTGGAACTCGGTGGAGTGCGCCGGCGACTACAACTTTGGCATCCAGTTCCTGCCCAAGGATGAGGAAGGCCAGAAGCGGCTCCGCCTGGCCGAGCTCAAGAACGGCCGCCTGGCCATGATCGGGTTCGGCGGCGCTGTCACCCAGGCCGTGCTCACGCACAACCCGTTCCCGTGGCTGTACTGAACTCTCCGGCGGGGTTCCCGGTCGCGGCCGCCAGCAATTGCGCGAGCCGAGCTTGGGTCCCAGCCACCGCCGCCGGCGTTGGCGCGGGGACTTGGAGAGACGCCGCCGCCTCCCGCAGGGCCCTCTCTCCCTCCTCCTCCTCCTCCTCCTCCTCCTCCTCCTCCTCCTCCTCCTCCTTCTCCTCCACCTTCTCCTCCTCCTCCTGCTCCTTCCTCCTCCTCCTCCTTCCCTCCTTCCTCCTCCTGCCCCTTCCTCCTCCTCCCCCTCCTCCTCCTGCTCCTCCTCCTCCTGCCTCCTGCCCCTTCCTCCCCCCCCTCCTCCTCCTCTCCTCCTCCTCCTCCTCCTCTCCTCCTCCTCCTCCTCCTCCTCCTCCTCCTCCCCCTCCTCCTCCTCCTCCTCCTCCTCCTCCCCCTGCCCCTCCTCCTGCCTCTGCCCCTTCCTCCCCCCCCCCCCTTCCTCCTCCTCCTCCTCCTCCTCCTCCTCCTCCTCCTCCTCCTCCTCCTCCTCCTCCTCCTCCTTCTCCTTCTCCTCCTCCTCCTCCTCCTTCTCCTTTTCCTCGCAGCAGCACCAGAGGAGGATGGTGGGGGGGAGTGGGTTTGGGGGCATTACTTCCACCCGCATTTCTGCGTCTTTCCTGGCGCTGCTATGCGTTTTGTGCGTGTGTGTGTGTGTGTGTGTGTGTGTGTGTGTGTGTGTGTGTGTGTGTGTGTGTGTGTGTGTGTGTGTGTGTGTGTGTGTGTGTGTGTGTGTGTCTGTGTCTGTGTCTGTGTCTGTGTCTGTGTCTGTGTCTGTGTGTGTGTGTTCTAGCTCTTTCTCTCTCTATATTTATCGTTCTCTCTTCGTTTGTCTCCTCCTCCTCCTCTTCTTTCCTCGTCTCCTCCTCCTCCTTCCCGTTCCCACTCCTCCGCATCGCCATCAAGTTTCCTGTTCATCCTTCTCGTCCTTCTCCTCCGTTTCCTTCGTCTCCTCCTCCTCATCTCCCCTCGTTTCCCACTTCGCCTCTTCTGTCGCTTCCTCGTTCTAAAGAAGTGCCCGAGGAGCAGGAGGAGGGGCAGGTTGAGGAATCCGCACCCCATTCTCCTTATTATCCCCTCTGCTTCTCATCCTCCAAAGTTCCATCCTCCTCCCTGTACTCCTTTTGTGAAGGATCTACAACTTGCATTCCTTCTGTGAGGGCGTTGCACATCGATACCCTTGGTGGAGGGATTACCCATACATGCCGTATGTGAGCGGTGGAAGACCCAACAAACGCAAGGAACATCAAACACATTAAAGACGCCACCAGGATGGGAACAACAAGCAATTACATGGACCAGCAAACTAATAACAAACAAAGACTGCATCACCGTCCCCTCACTCCTCGTTCCACTCCGCTTCCTTCCCGCGTCCCCACCTTTTACTCCTCCTCCTCCTCCTCCTCCTCCTCCTCCTCCTCCTCCTCCTCCTCCTCCTCCTCCTCCTCCTCCCCCTCCCCCTTCTCCTCCTCCTCCTCGTCCTCCTCGTCCCCTTCCTCCTCCTCCTCCTCCTCCTCCTCCTCCTTCTCCTCCTCCTCCTCCTCCTCCTCCTTCTTGCTTCCTTCTTACTCACGTGTTTCTCCTCCTCCTCAGGGGGTGGGGGTGGGGCGAGGAGGAGGAGGAGGAGGAGGAGGGAACGGGGGAGGGCGGGGAGGGGGGAAGGATGAGGAGCAGGAGGAGTAATGAGGAGCGAATGGTGAGGAGCGAAGGGTGAGGCGTGAGAAGTGACGTGGAGGAGGAGGAGGAGGAGGAGGAGGAGAAGGAGAAGGAGGAGGAGGAGGTGGAGAGGAGGAGGTGGAGGAGGAGTGAGGAGTCCGTCCATCGTCAGCGGTTCTATGTCGGAGGCTGGACGAGGACGGCGGGACGGCGGACGGCGGACGGCTCTATAGGAGGCTGGAGGAGGATGGAGGACGTCGGACGGCGGACGGATTCTTCTTCCTCCTCCTCCTCTTCCTCCTCCTCCTGCCCCTCCTCGTCCTCCTCCTCCTCCTCGTCCTCGTCCTCCTCCTCCCCCTCCTCCCCCTCCTCCTCCTCCTCCGCCTCCTCCTCCTCCACCTCACCCCTCACTCCTCACGCCTCACTCATCACCTCTCACTCCTCACTCACTCCTCTCCTCCTCCTGCTCCTCATCCTCATTCCCCTCTCCTCGTTGCCCTCCCCCTTTTCTTCGTCCTCGCCTTTCCTCCTTCCTCCTCCTGCCCCCCCCCCCCCCCGCCCTGAGGACGAGGAGTGAGACGTGAGGAGGAGGAGGAGGAGGAGGAGGAGGAGGAGGAGGAGGAGGAGGAGGAGGAGGAGGGCGGGGAGGAGGATGATGAGTGAACGATGGGGGGGAGGGGATTTGAACGAGGATGATGAGTGAAAGATGGGGGGAGGGGATTTGAACGGCAACCCCATGTCGTCGGCTAGCCTTTGAATCTGACGACCCGCAGCGTGGTCCATGCTTTCAAGACATCTTCGTACCTGGAGTCTAGCTGTGTCGGCAACGGTAATGTGAATGACAGCCCCACATTCACGATGTACACCAACGTGAAGCCAAGCATTGAAATACATCCCAAGGCAAACCAGCACTTGATAAGTAAAACCACGAATTGCCAAAATGAGCACGCCCAGAACCACGCAGAGTTCTCCGTAGCCGAAGCCATCCCAAAATCTAGTCAGATGCCCTGGCCCCTGCTGATCGCCAGAACGCCCTCAGCCTTCTTCTTCGGGTCCTTCGGGATGTCAACCTCCGCGCTCTTGTACATTTTGTTGATGTTGCCCACGATGAGCTTCTTCTTCATGGATTTCTGTATGCCCTTCACAAACGTCTCGGTGGAGTCGGAATCCTTGATCTCCGCGTCGTTGCCAACCAGTGAACGCAACCAGCCAAACTCAGAGCGAGACAACGTCGTCGAGCCAGAACCGTTTCGAGAGTCGCGGCCCCCATCAGGTCCATCGCGTGACCCCTGACCTCCACGACCACCGTGATCACGAACATCCGGCGGCGCAGTAGGAAACTCACGTCCACGTGGCGGCTCTGCCATGCCCCGCATGTCCTTGAGCATGTCCTCGAACGTGGACTTCATCGCCTCGGCCAGGAGCTGGCCCATCGCCCTGTGCTCCTTCTCGCGGTCCTTGAACGCCTTCTCCCGCTGCATGTCGGCAAACTCCGGGTCCGCGCGCGCCAACTGGCGTCGCAGGTTCTCAACGTACTGCTCCCTCGAGTCCTCCTCCTCGAGGCGCTCGACCCACTGAGGCTTGCGAGGGCCGCGGCGGTCCCAGCCCCCATCATACGGTCTGGGGGCCCACTGACCGTAACGGCCACCACCAGAATAGTCCCTGCCACGAGGATCATCACGGCGGTCATCACGACGCTCAGAGGGATGCCGGCGCTCACCTCTCGAGTAACCTTTGCCTCCCATGGGCGCCTGCGTGCGGAGCTTCAGCCAGCGAAGGAAATGGAATCGCACATTCTGAGCCACAATGCACCACGGGAGGCGGAAGGCAAGGGCTCTGAGCAACGAAGTCGGATATGAAAGATAATGCATCTCCAGAACCGCCTCAAGAATCCAAAGAGCGGCAACTGACGGATCAAGGCCAAGCATTCGTGATCGAGCCAGCCTCCCAGCCAGGGCCCCATAGAGAAGACCGAAGGAGCGAGGTAAACAGCCAGGCCAGTCCAAAATCGTTCGAACACCCTTCCTGGACTTTTCATCGTACAACCATTCCCGGTTCAAGTTCTTGGGGAGGAAAACGATGCTTGGCCCAACCGCGGACAATTCCAAATCAAGCCACCGAACTGCGCAATCACGGAGGCGATGCTCGAAAGCGGGTGAAAGTTTCACGCCGTAAACAGCCTTGGTATACATTGATGTGCAATCTTGACAATACGACGGACTTATACTCAAGATATCGTCAACGAATCGTTTCAGACCGACGTCGACGCCTCCAGTCGGACGTTGCACAAAACCCATCCGGAGAAATCGATCGGGATCCCGTTCTGCCTGAATCTCATGAGCGCACAGCAAGATACTGAGGCCAACGCCTGACAGGACGCCCCCAATCGGTAGGCCTCGCAATTCAAAAATGCTCCCCACGAGACTGACCAAACTCACCCAGCAGAAGGCTAGCATTCCCCGGGCAACGTCCTCAGTAGTAATGCGGAACCATCCTCGTGGACACGTTGACGAAGTGGACGGTGTCACCTGGACTCGTCTGGCACGCCGTACGAGGACAGCACCACAAGGCACAACGGCCTCGAAGGAGGCCGCCACAACCTGCCACGCTTCCAAGACAGCCGAAGATGAGCACTGTTCGTAGGCCTGGTCCGCGTCGTGCGCGGTCAAGGTAAGACAGTGGAGTTGGCACCCACACCGTAAACATGACGGGGAAACTTCCGCAGACAACGATGAGCGTAAAGAGCGAACCTTGTCAGCAATCTGGCCCACCTCGAACACCTCACAACCGGCCCCAGACATCGAGATCATATCCCTCGCCGCACGCCCAAGCATCTTGTAGCCATAACCGCCAGGACCATTCGAGGAATCGACCACGCGCCGCATGCAGGAGTGGTTCTGCTTGAAGCAAATCCGGTCGCCCTTGGAAGTGAAGCACTTGGCCTTGATCAAAGGAAACACCGTCGGAATCTTAGTCTGGCACGTCGGCGAAGGTACCTGGTGCCATGCTCGAAGCCAAAGCGGAAGGCCCAAATGAGCACGTGCCCAGAGCCAAGATTGAACGGCCTCTTTGGTGAGGGCTGGCCTTGGCCGCCACGTAGGGTCTCGAAGGACTGCTTGACATAAGTATCTTGCCAGGTCGGGTCCAGTTGCTCTCCAAACTTGGTCTTGGTCTTTACCGTCAGAAACTAAGATCACCGAGGAAGGACCCCAGGCTGCTGCCGACCTGGACGAAGAAGGTGGGCATGGAGAACACGCGCTGACAGACAACGACATGATATGCTCCATGTCCGCCCACTCTGGAGGAGCCGCTGGTACTCGCCTCACCAAG